TTATTTATCTTAATGCACTTTTCATAATGGTTTTTTGTCCACCTGCTCCGCTCACCGAACGAGCAGTTGCCAGCTAAGCTTTCGCCAGCTAATCAGGTCAGAGTCTCTCGCCGGCTAAAGCCTTGGGCTATGCCAAGCTGACAAGTTCACTGTAAAGATATGTTTTGATTGGCCTTTTTTTTATTTTTCGTATTTTTAAAAAAAATTTTAATCACCACGATCGATGATAAAAATCAGACATCACATACAAAAACTAATTATATGAAATAATTATTTCTAACTAAGAGAAAAATTTTAATATATTTTGGGGTTCATATTTTATGTAGCAGAAGTTTTTTAAAATTAAGCTGAGGAATGTCTACCAGGAATGTATATGAACTCCACACAATAATATTTGAATTAAAATAATGGTGGGAAAATAAAAAAAAATATTGAACCCAATAAAAACTCGTATGAGACAGATGAAATAAACTTCCGGGGGGAGTGTGTCAAGCTACAAGCAAAATTTTCTAACAGGAGAGAGCGAAATAGATATATTTTAGGTTTAGACTTGGCGGCAAGGTAGTCATTCGAGAAGAAAATTAGTTCTTATCTGTTTGTGGGGCAAGGAGGGTAGGAGATAAAATAATTACATATATAAATATGTAAATTTTAAATTCACTAAATCTTTTCCAAGAAAAGCAATGAGACCAATATGACATAATGCAACTCCTCCCCGACGGGAAGGAGAGAAGAGGTTGTATAAATATTTTCTTAAAAAAGTTTGGATGTTACATAGGTAATATTAAAATTTTCTGTGTTCATAGGTAAAACAGTATGCTTTAAGTGGGTATGTATGAATATCCTCCAATCATTAAAGAATATCCTCCAATAATTAAATTTTAGTTAAAATTTATTTAAAAATCAATAAATTATTTTTTAATTCAAATCAAATTCAAATTTTGTTTGAATTGTTTAACTCACCATAAATAGTTTAACTCATCATAAATAATTTACATTATAATTGATCTCAATAATAAGATTATTTTTTTTTAATAACGTGAGTTATATTAACTATTTTTCTTATAATCTTTTTATTTGAAATAGCTAAGATTCACATTAATATTTATTTTATTTTTTATATGAATTTATTAATATAAATGATGTGTGCTAGAAAATTCACGACAGTAGAGTAATATATGATTATCTTAACGTGGTATATCTTAGCGTGGTATGAAAATTCAACACATACTAGTAGAGTAATATATACCAAAAATCCTTATGTCCGTCAATGATCTAACACCTAGAAGAGAAATTCTTTGCAAAAATTTGTTTAGGATACTAGATTTTTTAGTTTTGTACAAGCCGAATATCCTCATTTATAAATATAAAAACCATTGAAATCCCTTCCATCTTTAAGGCCACACTTCAAAATCACATGCTTGATTACAATAAACAAATATTTTCATGCCCATCAAACAAAATAATGAGTTTCAAATGCACTTACAAAGACAGGGGTAGCCAAGGAATGATCGAACGTGAAAGAAACTCTAGCTGATTCTCCATGGAATGCTTGCAGCAAAGTCCTGTAATTATAAACTAAGGAGTATAATGGTTTTCCGAGCTTGAATTGAAGCAAAGTTGCAGCTTTTAATGGAATGTATAATATAAATTATATTTGCAAACTATCAACTTTGAATAAGAAGAACCCCTTTTCAAATATATATGAAAAATAGTTAAGACCTTTTGCAATTTATTCATATTCTTTGAACTTTAGGATCATTTTATATTCTTAGGCATCTTCATTATTATGCATCATTTTATATTCTTATCTTAAAATGGTTGCAAACTTGTGTTGTCTTTCAAAATTAAGAGTAATAATAATTATCTACGACATCTTTTCATATTCTTATCCTAAAATGTAATAATTATCTACGACATCTTTTCATATTTTTATCCTAAAATGGTTGCAAACTTGTGTTGCCTTCAAAAATTAAGAGTAAGAATAATCATTTACGACATCTTTTCATATTCTTATCCTAAAATGGTTGCAAACTTGTGTTGTTTTCCAAAATTAAGTGTAAGAATAATCATCTAATGGGGCACCCAAAAAAATCACTTCCATAATGCATCAAACCTAATTAAGCCCATCCATAGAAATGAATGCTTTGTAAAAATGAATGTTTTGTATGTTCAACAATATTAAAAGGATACTCATGCACTATAATCATTTTGGAGATTATCTCTCTAATCTTGTGTTGATTTGTGTTGATCATAATAGTTTTTTTGAATCGTGAAAAACTGTAATCTCAACATCTGCATCAAAATCAGTTGGCATAAAATTCAACAATTTTTATCTTTTTTCGGCAAGACCAACGACTTTCTTATTTTTAGCTTTGATTTGTCCACATTCCCTTACATGACGTAGAAGTTGAGAAGTAGTTCCTGTTTTAGATTTTTGAAATTTTATTTTAGATTTTTGAAATTTTGTTCGACAACAAATGCACTGCCAAAAAGTAGTATGTACCTCTTTAATCGGAAATATTGCCTCAACAAAATACTCTCACACTGCTGACTTCCTCTTCCTACCCTTCTTGTTAAGAACTTCTTCACTGCTATTATCAATGACAACTTGAGGCACTATTTATGGCTCTGTACTTGGTAAATTATGAATGATAATATCATTGTTATTCTGAGCTTCTGGTAGTAATTGATTGTTGGATGAATTTGATTGTGAAAGATTTAATTCGGACATATTTGCATTTGCACACTAACTGAAATCAAAACTATGGAATTAGTATTAAGAATTATGTTCTTCTTGTAAGAATTATGTTCTTCTTCAAGAATATCAAAATGACAATATGACAAACTCGTAAATGAGAAGACAAATCAATCTTTGTTGAGCAAAATTTGTAATTAGGGAACTCATTACAACTGAATAAGTTATGCTTCTTTCACCATAAAGACACATTTCAAATATACATCAGCTGCAAGCTCATCTTTTTTATGTATGTAAATATATTTTTTGTCGTCCCATCTTTTTTATGTTAGTAGATATAATAACACATGATCAACCAAATCTGATTTTAGATAGTTGCAAGCTCATAAATTAATGTCATCTATAAATGAAGAATTTAAAACAACAACAAAGCTAATCATTACAACAACCCAGAAAAAGAGTGGTTGGCACATAAAGAGTCAAAACAGATAGTCATTTCTCAACTTATAACTATTGGAGAGCATCATATAGTCATTTCTCAACTTATGCAAAACAAGAGTCAAAACAGCAAGTCACAAAAGCTTTCAAATCTTTCCCAAACCAACAAAATTGTATTTTTGAACAATTCTTATATAGTATCAACACATGCAGAGACGCATTTTTGTCTTTGAGAAATAAGTAAGCTAGTATATATGAGAAAACTGAAGCTCATGTTTGAGATATAAGAATACATATTGAACCAAATGTAGATTTTCTTAACATATTTTCAACACAATATCACATATTTTTCTTTCAATCCTGCGGCCACAAATATTCTATTTTTTTTTTTATTTACACACATACTAATCAATTCTTATGTATTACATGTCTAACACCTATGCTTCTATTTTTTGAATTCATACCACCTTAAACTTTAGAATGCTATCTTTGGATCTTAAGATTTTGCTATTTAACAAAGACCTGAAAAGAATGACCATTTATAGTAAAAAAATGGCAGCTCATTCCTCATGCATACCCAAGATTAGCATAATGAATCACTAAAGCCTACAACAATAGCAAAATATAATGCATAAGAAAAAGAGAGTAACAGTGCCGAGAAGGAGAAGTAATGCATACACATAAATCTAAATGTGTTGACCTCACTTAATCCAAAAACCCTAATTTCAACAAAAGCCAACAGTGCCGAGAAGAAGTAGAGATTAGATAACTTGAACTCAAGTATTCATAAAATTAAACTCAAGTATTTATATACGTAACTTGCTCAAGTATTTAGAGAACTTGAACTCAAGGCTGATCTACATAACTTGAACTCAAGTATTCATATACGATCTTGAACTGTAAACATAACTTGAACTCAAGTATTTATAAAATTGATAAGCAAGAATTAGCATTCATTTTCTTGCTTATAAACTCAAGTATTCATCTTGCATAACCCTTGGAAAATAAATGTTATTGTTTTGAAAAGCTAAAGGAAAGAAGCATAAAATTCTTCACAAAAAAAATTCTGATCTAGAAGCAATAGTCGAACCACCACTGAATATGTAATGCTTCTCACTAATCATTATGATATGTCTCCATTATAATATGTCTACCATTATAAAGCAGTCCCAACAATTATGATCTAGAAGCAATAGCCGAACCACATAATGATTCACCACACAATGCAAGCCAAACTAAATTTCACAACAAGGCTATCTACAAAACTTGAACTCAAGTATTCATATGTGATCTTGCTCTATAAACATGACTTGTAGCATCAACTGGAAATCATGACAAAAATACAAGAATATCAACTGGTTGAAAAGCTAAAGGAAAACGGATGTTATTGTTTTGAAAAGCTAAAAGAAAGAAGCATAGTATCCTTCACAAAAAAAATTCTGATCTAGAAGCAATACGCGAACCCCGTAATGATTCACCATAGAATGCACTTCGAACTAAATTTCACAACAAAACATTTAGATCAGATCTCATATTCTCATCCATAGAATATATATATATATATTTTTTGGGTTTTTGACAGAATTGCAGTGTTCCGTAAAAAAATCCAAATAAATGTAAAATAAATTTAAGTAAATATAAGATAAGAGACGAACCATAAGATAATATGAAATATTAGAGAGA